AAATCACAGTCAGAACGAAGAAGAATACCCTGGCCTGGCGTACCCTTCAAGTATCGGACCACACGAATAGCGGCATCCCAGTGTGTTTGACGAGGCTGATGCATAAACTGTGAGAGCATGTGCACAGCATATGACAAGTCAGGACGAGTCACAGCTAAATAAATCAAACGGCCCACTAACCGACGATATTTCTCAGGATCAGAGAATAAAGGTCCCTCGGCTAATGGGAGCTGATGATTCTGCTCCATAGGAAAGTCAACTGGCTTGCCGCCAAGCAAGCCTGTCTCGACAATGATGTCAAGAGTGTTCTTTCTCTGGCATAGAAAAATACCAGAGGTGTTCCGAGCAACCTCAATGCCTAGAAAATACTTCAGGACTCCCAAATCCTTCATATGAAAACAGCGACCCAGGTACTCTTTAAAGGCAGTGATAGCAGCAGGGTCGCTCCCAGAGACGATGAGATCATCAACATAAACCAAGACATGTAAATGCACAGAATCACGATCTAAAGTAAAAAGAGAATAATCCGAATAAGACTGCGCAAAACCATATTGCTTAAGGGCAGTAGCAAGCTTGGCGAACCAACAACGAGGAGCTTGCTTCAAACCATACAAAGAACGACGCAATCGACACACCTTACCAGGATCCGGCGAATGAAAACCAGGAGGAAGTTTCATGTAGACCTCCTCAGACAGATCTCCATGCAAGAACGCATTGTGCACGTCCATCTGATGAACCTCCCAATGTCGAGCAGCTGCAACAGCTAGAAAAGTCCGTACAGTAACCATCTTAGCGACAGGTGCAAATGTCTCTTGATAGTCAATGCCCTCCACCTGCCGGTTGCCCAAGACAACCAAACGCGCCTTGTAGCGCTCAATAGAACCATCAGAGTTATGTTTAATCTTATAAATCCACTTGCAACCAATCGCGTGTTTCCCAGTAGGAAGAGAAACGATATCCCACGTATGATTCGATTCCAGTGCTTGAATCTCCAGTTGCATAGCCGAACACCAGCGACTATCTCGAACAGCCTCAGAAAAGGTCCGAGGCTCAACAACAGAAGAAATGGCTGCCAGAAATGACTGATGTGCAGGTGAAAAGGAATCACAAGAAACATAGTGTGCAAGAGGATAAGGAGTACCAGATGATGATCAGAGAATTCTAATTAGCCAAAATATATAACCAAAACGTGATGATCAGAGAATTCTAATTAGCCAAAATATATAACCAAGATTACATCCTAACTAAATAAGGAAACTAATCACAAGATACTAATTGTCCCTAAAATATCTCCTCAAATAATACAAAAGATATGCTACATAAATATACACGGTAACATTAATTAACGTCAAAGTTATTTATTTTTACTTATTTAATTAAAATTATATAAGATAAAAAAATAGTGTATAAATATAAGTTAATATTTTTAAAATTAATTATTCGGTTCAAAATGCTAGACGATAACGTAACAACTCAATTTGCATGATTTGAAAACATTGAGAATATGGAGTTGCGTATTCTGTGTTTGTTTTTTTTTTAATACTGATATGAACCTTATGATCCGACTGACCCGACACCAGAATCACTAGTCGGGTCGGTTAGGAAACATTGTGCGGCGCTACTAAGCGAACTTACTTTAATTAGTAGTTGCCAAATTATCGTGGCACAAAGTGTCACATTCTTTAATTAGCATTATATCATTATTCATTCCCCATCTTTTTATCCACATTCACTTTGCATAAATAAATTGTTTTCTAATGTTAGGTGGGAACTACCAAATCAAAAATTCTTGTAGATAACAATAATAAATGTTGGAGAAGTCACAAAAACAATTTTTGCTTTATTGCCCAAATTAAACTCCAGTTGAGGTTGGAATCTGGACACAAAGCCGTTATACTTTGAGTAGGTTCACTGAATTTGTACATGTGTGACTCCCGGTTTTGTTATGAAGCCAACAGTTGGCTCCAGAGTAGAGTCAACCTTCTATATATAATAAATAAACCTATCATATTAAGAAAATTATATTAGTATTATTTAAGTAATCAGAGAATATGGTAGGTTTATTTGTTGTATATAGAAAATTGGTTCCACTATGGAGCCAACTGTTAGCTTTATAGCAAAAATTGGTGTGACTCCATCTGATAGTTTAACACTTGAAAATAGTAGACTTAACACATAACCGTTTTATGACTGTTAACAGTCATTAGTAGTTTGTTACCTACCTTAAATGACAATGAACTTTGATCTCTCCTATTTGAGTTCAAACTAGGCTAAATTGTAAAATATAGCTAAAATTTTATACGCGGCGATAATAGTCACCATCATTACGAATTTGCAATAGCATCCAAATTTGACGGCTAACTTGCAAAATATAGTCAGTATTCTTTTACACTGTGGCAATAATAGCCGTCGGAATTTGGTCGGACATGGGTAATAACCTCGAAATTTTAAAATTTATTGGCTACTATTGCCAATTCATAAAGATGGTGCCTATTATTGCCACTACATACAAGATACTGACTATATTTTGCAATTAAACAGTTCAAACTATATAAATAGAAGTTCATACACTATTGTGATGCACTTATCATATCATATGTAGTGTTGCAGTATTAGAGTTGCCCAACATTGATTCTACTGGGTATATGAGCCTAGCTAGTGGGTTACTCTTACAACCATCAATTAGTTTTAGGATGGAAGATCATTAAGGTGCACCTAACATTGCCCTCTTATGATGCGTTTCACCTGGTGGGAATACGCCCTCTTTCCCTGTTCTAATATGGTATCAGAGTGGGCATGTCCGAGGACCTGCAATGACAACCCGGCTTGCTCTAGGGCTTACTTTACTCGGCTTACTCTGTGGGCTTGGGCTTACAAAGTACTCATAAGTGAGGGGGCGTGTTGAAATATCAGTTGTGTGTTGTCCCACATTGATTTTACAGGGTCTATGAGCATAATTTAAAAGCCTATTCGGTTACTCCTCCCATCACCAATTGATTTTAAGATGAAGCCTCATTAAAATGCACATAAACTCACCTTTTTATGGTGCGTTTAACCGGTAGGACCGCACCATCTTCCATCAGTTCTAATAGCATGCTCACTCTCCAAAAAGTCTCACGCATCATAACATAAAATTGTGTTTAGTGATGTTCCATCCAAAAACCAATTGGTGATGGGAGTGAGTAACCCACTAGGCTTATAAACTAAGCTCATTTACCTGTAAAATCAATGTGGGACAACTCACAAGTGATATTCTAACACGCCCCCTCACTTGTGAGTCTTTCGTAAGCCCAAACCCACAGAGTAGGTCGACAAAAGTACGTCCAAGCCCAGAGCAGACCGGGTAGAGAAAATCATTGTAGGTCCTAGGACAGGCCTGCTCTGATACCATATTAGAACTGGGGAAAGAGGGGTGCGGTCCCACCAGGTGAAGCGCACCATAAGAGGGTGGGTTTAGGTGCACCTTAATGAGGTTTTATCCCAAAACCAATTGGTGATGGGAGGAGTAGCCCACTAAACTCATTTACATATAGAATCAATGTGAGACAACTCACAATTGATATTCTAACAGTATCTTTGGAGACAACTACACACCCATCGACACTATAGGGAGTAAATTTATCTTGTAGGAAAAAAATTATCTTGTTTGGACATTTCTCTTTCGCATCAAGTTCAATTTTAATTTTTAATTGCTAGTTTATATTGTAAGAACTGAAAATATCAATTTTTGTTCGGTAGCTTTCTTGTTGTACCAACACACTATTTGAAACATCTTTTATTATTATTATTATTATTATTATTATTATTTTTCTCTTAAAGTGCATTATTCGAACATTTATTTTCCAATTGTGTCATGTCTTAAAATTTGCGGAATAATACAACATATGTGTAATGTGTAGTAGTGACATGTGTTAGAGTAAATTGAATCAATTGATCCAAAGAAACTAAAATTGGGCACGATAGTTGTGCCGCCAAAAGGGCATAAAACTCTCAAATCACAAAACAAAGGCAATAATTAAGGCATCACTACATAAAAAATTCCTAATTATTTTTATATTATTCATAAAACATAAATAACATTTTAGATTATTTTTATATTCCAATTTCACCTTTTTTATTCGTTTTCAAATAGCCAAATTAACTTGATTCTATTTATTATTTATCAACATAAAACATAATCCCTCCTATTCAAAATAACTGTCGTTTTGAGAAGTTGCACAATAATTAAGAATATTTTTGTTGTCAATAATAACCCTATGTAATGAAGATAGAGATGAATGTTTTAAGAAAAAATGAAGAGTGAATATGAAAAGACGTAGTGTATTTATTGACTCAATGAGGGTAATAATGGAAAAAACATGTACAAAAGACCCAAAACGACATTTATTTAGTTAATAGTTGATAAAGCCAAAATGACATTTAAAAAGAATAGGAGGTAGTACAAAAATTCAATCCTACTTAACTTAAATATCTATTCAATTAAGAAGTTGGTTAGAACATTTCCAATGTAACATTATCCATTTAATGCCGTACGACTTAGAGAAAGAAAATTAAGAAATTGTGTCTCCATGGCATTGGTTAATGATAATTTCGGTATAATTTCTAAATGTATAAAATTATAATTTATTGGAGAACGAGAAATAAATTAAATAAACAATATACCATATAATAAAATTTGTTTACATATTTTTTCAAATAATATCGTACTCCAAATAATAAAATAGGAGTGGCCGAATCCGCTGACGTAAGCAGTGAATTAATTACATTTGTTTTCGGCTTTTAGATACGCAAAGTATCACATAGGTCGGCAATATGTTTTTCATTTCTTATTTATTTAAAATAATTTTTTTGATCAGATCATTGAGGTGAATTAATTTTGAAATCAATAGGTCACAAATTATGAGCATTCAAATAACGGGATTGATTAATTTCAAAATTCAATAAGTCACAAATCATGAACATTCGAATTGAATTAAGGGATTAATTTGAGTTGATTTCAAAATAATTAACTCACATATTATAAGTATCCCTAATTACCATATCTTATACATCTATTATACATTAAAGGGCTTGAAACGAAAATATTCAAACATTATTAGACAAATAAATCAAACTTGTACCAAAAACTTCAACTAACTTGTGACGAGGGTGATTTCAATTTAAGTAGCTTATACTAGGGCTGCAAATGAATCGAGCAGTTCGCTAGCCGCTCACGAGCGCTCGAGTCAAAGCTTGACCGAACTTGAGTCGAGCTCGAGTGGCTTGAACACAAACTCGAGTCGAGGTCGAGCCCATATTTTGCCTTGTCGAGCGGCTCGAGATACATGTTAAATTACTAAAATACTCCTTATATATTTGCATAGGTGCTTAATGGTAATTGATTTCGAGTTGATCTCGAGCTATTGTAATTTTTTATCGAGCTCGAGCAGCTAAAAAAAAAAATCAATCCTGCTCGATATATAAGGCCAATGCTCGACTCGGCTCAACTTTTTTGCGTTCTACTTACTACAAACCAAACCATCTCCACTATTTTCATATGCCATGAGAAGCAATTAATTGCATTTTATCGTGCAATTTTAAACAATCTTTTAATTTATTTATGTGATATTTTAATGTTGAGTGGCACATTGGTGGGAGGAGAATATTATTTTTTTCCCTAGTGCACATAACAGCAAAAGGAGTATCAATTTTTTTCCATACCAAAAATGGAAAACCACACAAAAGGTAAAAATAAAAAATGAAGTAATTGCTCCCATGATGATTGACATATGAAAAATGGTCCATGTCATATCCTTGTCTTGTTTATTTGTCCTTTAATTCCCCACTTTTTCCTTATGCAATAAAAA